TTATTATTAATTATTATTATTAATTATTATTATTTATTATTATTATTATTTATTATTATTATTATTGGAATATTGATTACTGATAATGTTTTAAGAGCAGAAAAAAGAAAGGGTTGAGAAGATAATAAAGTTGGCGGCAAACCAGCTTGGGAACTCGTACATATTTTTCTTTCCATTATCAGATTGAATAATGCCTTAAAAGTTATAAAAATTAATAATAATAATTTAAATTGCGGAAAATTAATAATTAATAATAATAATTAAATTGTGTAAAAAGTAAAAATCGTTTGACGAATATAACTGTTACAAAAAAGTTCACTTGTATATTCATTGCATCACAAATAAATATTGTGGACTGATTCTTGCGATCGCTTGTGAAATGCTCACCAGAGAGAAACGCTGCACTCTGGCTATGTCTGTCCGATATATTCAAATTTTCAGTTGAATGACTCATTGAATTTAAAGATGACCTAAAAAAAATTTCAGTTCAAATTTAAATTTTTCAGTCATTTCACTTATTTATTTAGAATTTAAATATAATTTAATAAATCTGAAAATTGCAGCTTTCTTAACAAATTTTTTTTCTTTCAAATTTCTAAAAAAAATATTGAACTATTGAACGATGTTCTAAATACCCAATAATCAAAAATAGCTGGCCTGCGCTTAATCTTTTCTGCAGAAGAAGGTGAGACACCGATTTTCATCAACCACGCATCATCTAACATCGAAGACATCTTTTCATCAGAACTAAATAAAAAATATATTTGTGATAGATAATAATGAGATAATTCAAGCGAAAAAGAATTAAGCAAAACAAGAATGAATTTCACACTACCTATCATTTTCATCATCTAAAGATTGCGTTTTATTGGTACTTTCATGATCACAAAATGCATTTTTCGAGGACACGAACGGTTGACTACAGATAACACCAGTAACTGCACTGTCCTTTTCATCACCAATAATGAAATGCACAGGTGAGCATTCTGGTAAATGTGTTCTTTTTCGTTCAACAAGATCAAAAGCTATATCTATAATGAAGCAAATTTAAATAAAGTGAACCTTGATTTACTTTAGGTTTACACTTCCATGAAAAAAATGCATAAAAAAGAAGATATTACGGCTAAAAATGTATTAAGATTATCAGACCCACCACTGAAATTTTATTATTTAAATGTAATTTTATTATTTTACCTTCATTATTTAAACATTGTTGCAATGTAGATGACGATGGAAATATTACAACTCGATGGCCTGGCGAATTACGCAAATGATTTTTACCCAGCCAAGTAAAAAGTACAGTCAATGTTGAACAACAAATGTAAAAAGAATGCCTTAGATGCTTTCGCCAAGAATTATATAAATGGTCCAATGCTTCGCACCTGAAGAAAAAAAATCAAAATTGAAACGCTGTTTTTTAATTAATTGAAAGTAGTTTCTTCTGTGTGAAAATATCATGGACAAGAAAATGGCTGGAAAAATATTACTATATGATGGATATAATGGATTTTGCAACAACTCTTTCAATATTTAAAAAATTTAGATCCGAAGAATGTAAATAAAATCTAATTAAGCAAAAATTTATCTGGCCATAGAAGAGTAGGAAGTAGGATTAAGAATAAATACAATATAGTTACAAATCTATATACAAAATGATGACTTTCCAAAATATTCGCGGGACATTCTAAACGAACATTTTGTGCCTCAATTAAGGAAATTGTTGTTGAATCGCTTTGGCTAAAGGAAAGCAGCATGAGTACCATTCCTATTCTTTGATAAAAATGAACTAGTCAAATAGAAGTGATTGCTAATATATTTCTTTCCTCAACTGACACTGGCAAAGGGTCATTTAAATACTTAGCGTTTGATAGCCAGTCAAACAAGAAACGGTATAAAGTAAAAGAAGAAAGAAATTCAATGATTAATTCAAAAATTGAATCACTAATTAAAAAAATTGATATTACCAATGAATATTTAATGCATCTAAGTGCTTTGATGGTAGTTGTTTCGAGCTGAAATCTTCAGCCGAATACTTTCGATTTTTTTCGAGACAAGGAAATGTTTTTAGCCAAGGAAGTTCAGGAAATTGCCAATACATAGTAGAAGCTAATAATGGAAATATCGATGATGAATCCGCAAAAGTATCATTAAAACCCTAAACCATTATAATGGATATTAATTAAATGAAAAGTAAATTGTTATTTAAAAAATATAAAACTCAAAATAAAAATAAAAAAGTTTAAATAGTCAAGTAATTGAAATGCTACTTCAGTTGTTTTATAAACTGTTTTGAAAAGACAACGTGTGGCCAAATCAAGATCGCTTCCTCTTGTTCTAACTGGATAACGTCCTTTAAAAAATCAAAAATAAAACTCCACCAAAATCTTGATAATTTTGCTCATTTCAATGAAAACTCTTAAGTTACCTAGTGCATTCCATATAAAATGAAATTTCGAAACTTACCTATGAATAAATCTTATAAAAATTACCTGGAAGATTAGAAGGCATCCAGGGAAATGGAATATTACTCTTTACATGAATTTTTGTTCCAAGGCGTTCATCAGAATATAAATCAAGTGGCTGATTTAAAATATTATCTTCATTTTCAATTTTCGATTGTGTAGCATTGTCGTTGCATAACATATGATTAATGGAAGAAAAATCAGTTGGACCTTGTAAAGATTTTTGCTGCAACAATAAAACTTTTTATCTCAACGCAGGTATATTAATAAAACTTCAGCTATAATTATTATAATTATTTATTAATGAAATGGTGGAAATGAATAAATGTACGATCAAAAAATTTGAAATTTTGAAATATTTTTTGCTTTAATCTTAGGCGGCTGTTTCCATAATCCGCTATTTCTTGCGCTATCTCTGAAACAATAAACGCTGAATTTTTTTCTAATTTAAAATTTAAAAATTAGAAAAATTTAAATTTTTTAAATAAACAAATAATAAAATTTATAAAATTATAATTATAAATAAAATTTTTTCTAATTTAAAAAATGATAAAAAAAGTGCATATATTTATAAAGAAATAAAAACCAATGAAAATGGAGCAAAATAAATAAAAGAAATGATATTTTTTAAATTTATTTAATTTTTTTAGTTCCTTTTTCTTTCCATTTCCATATCTAAAACTCAAATAGCTCCAGCGCATCCCGATATATACTGTATCTCCAAGTGATAAAAATGCAAATATGGATCGGGAGAATACTTAAAGATATCGAACAAATATCAAATCCATGTACATGCGGTACATGCGGTGAAAGTCACTGTGTGGAATGTCAGAGTATAAAACGAACATAAAAATAAAGTCAAGCGATACTTCTGTACCAGATAGCAGCACAGGAAATGGTAGCACTAGCAGACAAGATCGAATTATGGTATGATGGAAATTTGGTTCGAATTTTATGCAAATATCCTTTGAAAATCACTTAACTATTCAAAATTGAAAAGGTCCAGAGAAAATAGGCGTATTTCAAACTGAGGTAACGAAGAACCTCAAAAACTACAGTATCAGCGAAACTTTTGGAACAGGTGATGGGAAGCAATAACAAATGAAATCTCTTACCTTAGGATATGCTACTCTATTAATATGCCAATTCTCTAGTGAAACAACCCGACTGGCGAACCAAGCCATGCAAAGCCGTAGATTATGGCAAAACAAGATAACCGGCATTGAAGTAATGTGGCTAAGAACGAAGAGATGGCTCGAAAGGGCAACAGTTGAAAATTCTTTCGTCTATTTCGCAAAGCACCTATATGAACTAATAAAATGATCCAAGATAAAGAAGGAAATATTGAGAATCTCAAAGATGCCTCTCGTGATGAAAAAATTTTTTTAAAGACAAACTATGATAGTCCATCTAAAATTCAGTGTATTGTTAGAACTTTAATCCAAACAGTTGCAAATATCAGCCATCGAGCAAGAAAATAACCTCTACTTTAAGTAATTTAAATAAAAAATCAATATCAATAAAATATCCGACAACATCGTTCATAATTTTTACAAAATTTTTGCTCACTGTTACAAAATAAGGAAGATGTACAATATGACTAAAGCAAAACTCAAGTGTTCTGACCAAAAAACACTTCGAGATAACTATAAACGAATCAGTCTGCTGGATATATCGAGGATTTTTGCCTCGATTCAGTTAACTGGATTCATGGTAGCAGCCCTAGTTAAGATCATTCACATTAGAGGATGGATGTGTTGACCAAATCTTCATATTGGAAAAATATCGAAACAATACTTCAAATTATGATTTACTAATTTTGCCGCTGCTTTTGACTCTATTGATAGAAAGATCTGGTAGGTTATGCAACTTCTGGTAGGTTATGTAACGATGTTATGTATCCAGAAAAGACCAGACTTACCAAAGCGCTTTATCAAAGGTTTATATCTAAATGTACGAACAACGCAACTTAGAAACAAAAACTGGCGTCAAAGATCTTGAATGTGCGTTTTGATAAAAGGATTCAAAGAAAACTGGATTTCACATCAACATAAATAGGTCGGACCTTTTTTTATTTTATATACCGTAAACCGATAAAATATCTATATAAATTCCTGACTAGTTTAAAAAGTATAGGAAATGTCTGAAAACTGCTCTTATATCCATGGTCGATAAAATGATAAAATTGTTGCAGCTAAAAATATTTCTTTATTTGGCAAAATCTCTATGGAATCGCCCATGGAATTAGTCTAAAAACGAAAGCACGTTTCTATATGGACGAAATCATTCCCTTTACAGCCCTATAACTAGTGGAAGATATGAAGCTTTCTTTTGTCTACCTGAAGCATATTCCACAGATTCGCTATGTGGATAAGGTCCATATGATTTCATTTACCTTCGTTCATCTGTACATCATTACATCGCTTACGTTGGCGATATTTTTCGTTGTTCACCATAGAAATTTAAATATATCTCTTTCCATACTTATTCTTCTAATGGATAGCATCAAAAACAATTAGGCCCAATTAGAACCTGGACAGATATGGCTAGGAGGAATTTTGAGCGTAGACCATCACCAGTAAACAGCAACAAATATGCTCAATAACGAATAAATTAATAAATGATCCTTTAATTTCAGGTATGGGTCTTGTCCTGACCAATGACTAGCTTGTTAAAAAATCTGAAATCACTAATGACACAAAAAAAAGCAAATTAATTAATGTTATCTGACAAAAAAAAATGAAAACAATGCAGAAACACAGAATACTGAAAGAGCAGATACTTACATTATCCTTTGTGGAAACGATGTTTTCAATATCACTGAATATGGAAACTTGTGGAAAGCCATGAAGGGCATTTTCACTGAGAATTTCAACTGAACCTTCTGGATTGTCATTTTCCTTATTTTTATGGCTACGTATTCGTTTAAAAACTTTTAAATGAATTCCTCTCTGCAATTCAAATTCAAAAAGTAACTTTGTAACAATGACAATATTCTTAAAGCTAAAATTTTAAAAAATAAAAATTTGAAAATTGTTAAAATTGTTTTATGGTTTTAATGAAAGAGAAATAAGAAATATTTTAGATATTAAAACTATTAAAACTATTCGATTTTATTTTAATAGGATAAAATTATTTAAATATTAAAATTTATTAAATATTAAAAATATTAAAACTTTATTATTTTAATAAAAAAGAATTTACCAATACTAATACAAAAAATTGTATAAAAATTTTATTACTGATTATTATTTTTAAACAAATGGCTATTGGATCTATTTTATTAAATATTTAAATACAAAATGGCTAGAAAAATTTTTCAAATTTTCAATAGATCCCGTTTAGGCTATTTTAGGAACTCTGAAAAAATGGCGGGTACTATGGAACATTTTTCGATGATTTTTTCAATGACTTTTGTGTAATCGAAAATCGATCTAATAAATTTATGGCATAACGTGAAAGAACAAAACAAAAAATAAAAGTAGACCTTCCATCACCAACGATGACCAAATCGAGACAAGAATAATAACCCAAAATAAAATAAGAACAAAAACTATATGACATTGAATTATCATAGACATTAAAAATATAAAAAATAAATAAACAAGATATAAAAAATCACTGCTGAAGACAATCGATCAACTTGAAGTGAAATAAAATCGGAGTCTAAACTGAAGAAAATTTATAACGCATTTCGCAGAATATGTGAGGCCTGCTATCCGAAATCGCACTATTTTAAAAGCAAATGGCAATGGCCGATGAAGAATCTTCTTTCTTTCGTCTTCTAACAGCTCTCCCCATTACTGATTAGGCTGGCTCCAATGACTATAACGATAAGGCGTTTCCAAGCAGCGCGGCCTGACGACATCGTCGACAACAAAAGCCATTCCTTTTGTATTCGTCTATATATTACCGGACCACCTATACGTTTAAAACCTCGTATCAATCCAGATCTTGATCGGCCCACCTCGCTTTAGTAAGTAACGAAATGTGCGTCAGCTCCTTTGGCAACGTTCCCTAACCACCGTATGCTCTGTCATAACATTATTAATACAAATGGTATTTGAACAAAAGTAGATGCGATCATGCGATATTTTATCGACGAATCCGTAAAATGTACCTTAGACAAGAATGGTCAAAGGCAAAGGAAACGGCTAATAGCCTGATTCCTCAATTGTCGCAGAATATCCTATCATCTTTCTCGACAATTCGGAGCAGAATTGATTTCTTTCCAATCATCTGATAACGAATTGAAAGTAATACAGCTCAGAACTGGTTAAAAAAAGGATTTTATTCAATATGAATTGGCTAGAAAAATTATTCAATAGCATAGTTGAAGAATGCTTTCCCCTTCAATATATTTACCGGTTATCGCATCTTCAAATCAAATTTTTTCCGCATCTTATGAGATTTCGCTTTCGTAAAAAAAATTCGACATTCTAAAAAACTACCCTTAGCAATTTTTTATTAACAAATAGAACTAATATATTGATAGAAAATTTTTAAGATGTGTGAAAAGAAAATAATGGAAGGAAAACTTATTAAAAAAAAAATAATGCTTATTCAATAAAAACTTTTCGCCCTATTAATTTTCTCAAAAAAATCCAAATAAACTTTTCAAACAATCTAAAATATTATAAAATTAATAAACCTTAAAGGGATTAAATCGTTTGCATTCTTTTGTTGTTGAATTCTCATATAACAATGAATTTGATGTTTCACTAAGCGTTCGCGACAAAAAACTAGGCGATGAAGATGTTTCTTCAAAAGAATCCATGCTAAATAATAAAAATAATTATAAAAATTCTAATTATAAAAATAATTGCAATAAATTAAATTAAATTAATTATAAATTAAATAGTTATAAATAAATATAATAATTACAAAAATTTCGTTTTTTTTTTTTAAGTCTAAAACCCTTCTTCTTTCTTTAATTCTCTGATCGGTTTCGATTCTAACCTATCGCAAAAGCAAATAAACAAATAGATAAATGAATTAGCACGGAAAATTTCTGCTTCAACTCGTCTCACACGATTTGGATAATTTTGCTAGGCAAATCGTATGAAATAGAATACATAGCTGATGAAATATGAATTTTTTTTTTTAAATGATAGGCTTATTTCTACACAAGTAAAATTATGAAGTGATTTGAAATGATAATTTAAAGATTATTATCAATCAATAACTAAGATTTATCAATCGAATAATCATAATCAGTAAAGAAAAGTAAAATAAAAATTACCTAAGTTCGCCATATTTTAAACGTTGTCTGAATCGCTGCATTGGAGTTTTCCACGAATTATTCGTGGTACTCTTTTTTGTTGCCATTATATGGTCAACAATAATTATCACCCGTTAGGTCGACTCATTTATCCAAATATAAGGTTAAATCTGAAAAAAAACACATAGTTCCTTAAAATAAACGAAAAAAACCCGAAACAAAATGCCATAATTTATTTACTAATTTATCGCCAATACAATAAAAAATTGTAAAATTTCAGTGGCCAAAAGTCCCAAAATTACGGCCCTAAAAGTTGTGAAAAGAATGACAATATTTTTTAATTATAATGGTAAATGAATAATTTATAATAATAATAATTTAAATAATTTATTAATTTTATTGAATTTTAAATATTTTTGATTTAATAAAAAACCTTCAATTTTTTGTTGTTTATCTTTACTTTTATTCATTTCGCATCGTTCATTTAAGCATATTGACCGTACAAAAATTCAGAGGGCCGTACTATTTTACGGTATAAAGAAACGCGGCCTATTTAAAAATAATTAAATGCCACGTAGCGATACTGAAAGCAGTAAATAAAAGGCAAAAAAAGCGAGTACAATTAATGAAAGAGGATGTAATATAAAGCAAATTAATGTAAGATTGGTTTTATTGATAAATTTTCTTCATAGACGAGAAATTGTAGTGAAAAATATTGTATATAAACGCTTAATTTTTTTCAACTATTTTTTAATATTTTTTTAAATCTAATCGATTAATTTACTCATTCATTTTCTGACAGCATTCACCTTTTCTTGTTCCACAATTGAAAAGGAATGGCTTCTATTACTACAAGCGATGGCGTCGGGCTGAGCAACTCGGCGACGTCTTATTCGTGTAGCCAGCGAAGTCAACCTAATCAGTAATGGTGAGAGTTGTTAGAAGAAGAAGAAAAGAAAATAATTAATTTTTAGAAAAAATAAGATATTTTTCTGCTGAGAAGATTTGCGAAAAGGCAGAGGTATAATTGGATTTCCAGTACTATTCGTATTTTACTTTTAATAGCGCTTTGGTTTGGTTCTCGTCAACGGACACGCGATAACGGACCTTGAATTCAACCACAGTACCACATCGCTTTTTTCTATTTTCTATGTTCCTAAACTGCTTATTGCGATTTGATAAATCTCATTTCATCACGAAAATAAATTTCATTCTTCGACAAAAAACTGTTTTAAATTTTTTTTATTTTTTATTATTTTTATTATTATTTTTATTACTATTTTTATCATTTTATTGTTTTTAATTTTTTTATTTTTCATAATTAATTGAAGTTCATTTAATAACAAAACAAAAGGAATTATATAAAATTTTTAATTTGACTATTTTTAATTCAACAATTAAAATTTGAAATTATAAATAAAGCAAAAGGAAAAAATAAATACAGTTGACAAATAAGGAGACATTGCCATTAAAGATTAAGCAATAAATTTTGAAAAGAACCATTTTTTTGCCATCAATCGTTTTATCATTTATCATTTATCTATTATGCCAATTAATTTTTGATTCAGATCGCTTTATTTGTTTTCGGGCAAAAAACAGAAATATTGATTGAAAGAAAAAAACAGAAATATTGATTGAAAGAAAAAAACAGAAATTAAAAATATGTTCCTTAAAATGGGAATATAAATTCTTTTATTTTAGTAAACTTTCGGAAAATTATTAAACATTTGACATTTTATTTTGTTAATATTAATGCAAGCACATTGCGTTTGTCAACCGACTTTGTTCCTTCAGATAAATAATTAATATAGTAATAAATAATAATAATTGTTGCTAAGAATAATAATAGCGATAATAACAATGATAAATAATAAATTGATAATAATCACTAATAACTATCATAATAATAACAATATAAAATGACAATTATAGTTAACAATAATAATTATAGTTAACAATAACAATATTAATGATAAAAATAATTAATAATAATGATAATAATATGATATAAATAATAATAAAAATTAAAATAAATAACAACAAGAATCCCATTAATTGATATTTAGATAACAATATTTATCTTTTCGGGGTGTTTAAGTTTACACGTCACCGAACCACCGTATACCAAATTTACATCAAATCAGCTAAGAAGAATAATGTCATATCTATAATATTAATAAATTAAATCTGATTTATTTATTTATTAATTAAAATATTTTTGCAAATTTTTGCTAAATAATATGAAACGTCATTTTACCATTAGCAACCAAAGGAATTAATCGCCATTTAAATTTGCCCTCGAGGAATGAAAATTAACAAAATGCTGCGAAAATTTGTTAAATTTATAAACGAACGGAAAGCAAGATAAAATATTTTGATAAATACAGGCAGTAATTTTTTTTCGCTTGCACCGTGAAATAGCCTTAAAGCAATTGTTATTGCTATATAAGTTCACTTATTCAAAATAAATTTATTATAAGCTTTTATTGGATGATAACTGAAAGGAGATTATGGTGGATGCGCTGGTTTCAAATTGGTTTGCGGGTTTCCATTTGGTTTTTTTCAGTTCTGTGCGTAATAAGGCATTTTATTCATTTATGGTTATTTCGATTGGTTATTCCGAATTCGATTATTACTTTATTTTGTTCGACCACTTTTATGTGTTTCCTTTGGATAAAATTTGTTATTTTCAAAAAAACGAAGAATTTATTGTTTAATTTTAAGAATTTGGCGAAAGAATTCCCATTAAATGCTGGGGAGAAATTTTGTCTACAGTTCAGTTAACCAATATTCTCATAATGCACGATGGTCGCTAGAACCCCCGTTTCAGTGGAGCTTAACATCTGTGTTAAATCAACAGTTCCAGACATCTCTTTACTCAGAATTCAGGGTAGGTGGAACTTCATTTTTTCTGTGTTTCCTTCTCTGCTCACCAATTTTGCATCGCCTTATCCGCTCTCGGTGTGAAACTTTTCCATCAAAGAGCCACATCGTTCCAGAATGGCAGAATTTGTTCAAAAGGCAAAGGCTTTATCGGTCAAAACGGTAATGCAACAGTAATATAACATGGAACAATGGTTTTTCCCCGTCTTCATGCAGGCATGTCTTTTCCATGTTTTTTCCATGTCTCATGCATGTAGCTTTGCCCTCACACTCGCGCAGAGATATTTTTATTTCATATTTTTATTTTCGCAATTATTGTTCCTAAACAAGCTTCGTTAAAAACGTAAACTTGTAAAATCTAAAATTTAAGTAATTGTATGAGCAAAAATACGAGCATAAAAACTGTTGATAACTATATTCGGAATTTAAATTTTAAGGTTTTTTTGAATAAAAGTAATCTATAAGTGGAAAAATGCTATAATAAAATATTACGTTATTAATTTTCGTTTAATTTTAGGTTTTCAATGATTAATTGGTCGATTTTTTGATATTTTGTTGCTTGGAATCTATTTTATCATTCTATGGTCGAATTTAAAGCGATCGTAATAAGTGATCAATGAGCTTGTCGATTTCGAATAAATATTCAGGTGCTTTATCATAATTATCAATGAAGATGATATTTCTCCTCAATTTTTTAGGTACTCTTACGCGACAACTGAAAACTGCGCGATTTATTTCTTTATCATATCAAACCCATAAATTTATTTATGTTGTTACTGCTATTTTTCTTTTCAATTTTCATATTTCTGTATTTTTAATTTTTCATAGTTTTTATTAGAATTGATATTGAAAAACTTCATAATGTTATGAAGTTTGAATTTTTTTTAATATATTTTTCCATTTTTTATTAAATTTATTTTTATTTTCCTATATTTAAAGCTTACAAATTTGCTTTTAAAAATTTTTCATTATTATTTTTAAAAAAAAGGAAAGTATTTTAAAGTTTATTAAATTTAGTGTTGGCTGGTTTTTCACTAATTTAGCGAAGTGTTTGTTTTATTTTAAAAATAAAGTAAATTGTTTCATTCTTTTTTTAGATTATAGATTGCATGAATTTAAATATTCTAAAAACTTCTAAAAGAAATTTATTTTATATTATTTCCAAAATTTCTTTTAAAATATAGTTGTTGATTTTTTAAATATATTTTAAATTATTTGAAAAGTCTTTTCTTTTGGTAAAATTGAATAATTTTTTGCAAAAATATATAGAAAAAATAAAAGGTTTATATAAAAGGATTTTCACATAATTTTATATTTTTATATTTTTTGCGACTTAATTCACACTTTTTGCAAATTGTTTCATAAAACTTGCATATAATTTCGCAACTTGCAAATAAAACATCACATGAAATTAATATAAAAAGCCGAAAGGTTGTAGTACGTGCATGGTGCTACTTAACGGAAAATGCTCCTGTGACAATTAGCGTACGCCTCGGTCTTTTTTCAATTGCAATGACCTCATAAACATATGAAACTATGAAAATTATCTGAGAAATATATTACTATTTCAAAGAAATTGTTCTAGCTATGAATAGTATTTGAATTATATAAAGGCAATCAGTACAATTCACCTGAAATTAGACCAAAGTGCGTCTAGAAGCGTCTAGAAAGGAGAAAGCAGAAAAACTTAAATAAAAAACATCGAACGAATTGAATTCATAAAGGAATGTGCTTCAAAAGTAGATTTAGAGGTCTGAAGACAAGTGGAGCAATGGTGGTTATCTGAAAGACGACTGCTCAATTAGCTTAAGCAAAGATCTAGGACTTTAAGCCTGGACGACAGTCTACGATGGTACTAGTGGTACTATTAAGGCAGGTGAGGAAGGAAATCTGAGGGATTATGTTTGCTCATAACAAGAAAATTTAAAAATGGATAATTATTTTTTCCATTACCACCATCCATGTATCATGGTCTTAAAGAGTGATAATATATGAATATGAATATGAATAGTGTTTTATATAAAGGCATTTGATATAAAAAGATTATGGAAAACATTCAAACGGGAGTTTGCTTAGTTAAAGACGGTCTCCATTTTGAGGGTGATTTGGCTGACGACTTAATAAAATGTCTGTTTAAATAGTTGGAAATACAAAGTAATGGCTGAGTTCCAAGTTGCTTCAGTATTGCGCAAAATCCATTCCTTCTTTTCTTCATTGAAATCCT